TTTGTATTGTCGACAAACCGGTGAGTTTTTTGTTGATCAATTGCTCATTGATCAACTGCTCTTGAATGCTGGCAAGTTTTTGTGCGTATTCGTTTTCCAGCTCTGATAATCGACTTTCGTAATTCTCTTGTTCAGCTTCCAGTCGACGCCTCTTCAAAGAATCTCATTATATATCGATACATCAATGTTCTCAAGCAATCATACATTTGAAACTGTTCTCATTCGAATACCGTTTTACTCAAGAGATGGAATAAGATGAGTGAAACTTGGAAACAAGGCAAACATTTTCAATGGTAACGAACGTATTTTTCGAGCTGTTCACTTAGTTCATTCTCAGAAGCTCGCTGCTGATTCCTGCTTTCTGTCGATGAAACGCACAGTGGAGGCTTAAATTTAAGATTATTTTTTGTAGTGATGACTAATAATATGAGCAGTAATCTGATTATAGTGAGAAGTGAACAATAAACTGTGATGAGTCGAGCTAATTATCAGAGGACAAGATGAATTAGTGATAATCGCCAACAACCATAGAAATACTCGCAAACTAGGCCTCACATCAGGGATCGCAAGTTGTTGTTTCAACCAATTCGTTTCTGTGACCAATTCGCTGTTTCTCAGTTCCAATTTATTCACCTACAATAAGCGTTTTCGTCTACTGAAATGACAACTTCAATATTGCTCTCTTCACATCGTATCATTTCGGTACATAGTACTTAAGTAATATGGTTATATGTTTACTCTTGATATTAAGACAACCTAAAATGTGGAAACTTAATGAATCGACAGATGAGTGAAGTTCAAATTAAAGATGAGAAAAACTACATTTTGCTGCAAAATTCTGATTTGCGCTTGTGCCTCGCTGAGTTTCTTTTCACTATTGACCAATTTTGCATGCATTTCTTCATTACGTTTCCGCTCATTACTTGTTGAACTCTGAAAATGTTTCACGAACAATACATGACGTTCCATTATCAATCTGCTTGGTGAATATTCACCTCGAAAAGTTCAAAAAACACTCCAATTTGCAACTTACCATATTTTTGAGAAATTTTCTGCTAATCGAAGAGCCACTCCGTTTGCTCGATGCAGATAAACTTACTCTGTTGCCTTTGTGCCTAAAATCATTGAATGCATTTCGAACTATTCTCTAAACTCATTAATTCATAATGATTTGTGTAAAGTTAAAGGTGTGACAGCAAAAACGAGCAGATAAGCTTTCATATAAGTTTTAAGTTTTAAGAAATTGTATTGTAGGTTCGTTCATATTTTGTATGCTCATCACTTAATTCACTTCAATGCACCTGCGTCTTCCACTTTTTGTTCTGATCTTGAAGTGATACAATGTTGCA